GTGAATGAGATGGTCGTCTAGAAAACTGTCTTATACTGAAGTACAAAGAAACAAAATGACTTTCAAAAATAGGAACATTTAAGAGAGAAGAAAAGCTCCAGAAGAAGGAAAAGGAGGGATTGGCAGAAAAGCAACAAGAGAGAGAGAGAGAAAAGAGAAGCTGACAGTTTCCTACAGTTGAATCTGTGAATACTCAGACTGTAAATTCACCCTAAATCCAGTCGATGCAAGAAAAGTGAATCTACATCAGAGACATTGTGATGGTTGGAAAGAAGCAACCTAAAAGCTACCTGGGAGTAAGGCACGTCACCTTTAAGAGATACAGCATACACAGGCGGCTTTTCTACAAGGGGAAGATACAGGACGAAGTACTGAGGGAAAGGGAGTCACTCTAAATGCTACACCAGCCGGGCTATTTCTGTAGTGAGGGCAAAAGGAAACATTTTCAGACAGAGGAAGACCAGCAGAGCTTCTCACCCCTAGATGTATGTCAGGAAATAAAAATCCAAGCAGGAGGTGCAGGGTGCATAAAAGAGTAGAAATTACAGCCCAGCCGGCCTGCCTTAGTGGCTGAGCACTGACCTATGAACCAGGAGGTCACGGTTCGGTTCCCGGTCAGGGCACATGCCCAGGTTGCAGGCTCCAGCCCCAGTGGGGGGTGGGGGTGGCGAGCAGGAGGCAGCCGATCAATGATTCTCTCTCATCACTGATGTTTCTATCTTTCCCTCTCCTTCTCCCTTCTTCTCTGAAATCAATAAAAATATATTTTTTTTAAAAAAGAGATCGAAAGCAAACTGACAAACATATAGGCAAAACTTCATACAGCAACAAAATTACATAAAGACTTTATATTTTAAATAATTCAGAAAACTTAGAAAGTAAACAGGAGAGGATGTGGAGGACTTAGAAAAGGAGGTGCAGGAGGATCTGGAAGATGACCCAGGAGGAGGAAGGAAAAATCTTTTCCTTCCACCCACATCCTGCCCAGGCCCCCTATAGGACATCCTACCCGGGTTCTCTACTAGGGAAGAGTGCAAAAAGGAAACTAAGGTCTAAAGTTCACCTGGAACCAGGAACCACAGCAGTTACCTATGGGTGAGCTAAATAAAAATGAGGTATGTTATATGTAAGGCATTACTGAAAGGCCCAGGGACACAAGAACAAACAGGACACAGCCAGGGCCCAAGGTGAGCTTCTGGACTAGTTCATTCACGGGTGGGGTCCCGGCCTAGCCAGCAATCAGGGCCGATTGGACCTGGCCGGCCAGGGGGAGGGATTGTGGGAGGTTGGCTGGTCACGGGAGGTTGGCTATGGTAGCACACTGACCATCAGTGGGCAGCCCCTGCATTGAGCATCTGCCCCCTGGTGGTCAGTGCACGTCATAGCTACCAGCCAGTCAGCCGGTCGGGCCAGTCATTCCGTCACTTAGGTTTTTATCTTATCTAATAAAAGAGAAACATGCAAACAATAAAGATTTAATCTAAAAAAAAATTTAAAAAAGAGACATGCAAATTGATCATACCTCTGCTACACTCATACGCCACGCCCACCAGCCACGCCCACCAGCCAATCAGTAGCGAGTATGCAAATAAACCCAACCAAGATGGCAGTGGCCAGGGAGCTGGTGCAAACAGGAGGCTTGGGTTGCCCCTGGCAATGGAGGAAGCCAAGGTTCCTGCCTGCCCTGCCGCCCTGTGCTCTGCTCAAGGCTACAGTTTCAATTACAGACGACAAATAAATCCCAGATACCTGCTTCCAGCTGGCATGGCCTCCACTCAAGGAGGGTCTGGGAGCCTGGGTTGCCCAGGGTCGTGGCCAGCCTAAAAACAGCCATCAGCCCCGCACCCAGGCTGGCCACACCCTCATGGGGTGAGGATCCCCGCTGGGGGTTTGGTCAGCCTGCAGTCATCAGCCCCTCATCTAGGCTGGCCAGGCACCCCAGCAGGGACCCCCACCCTGAAGGGGGTGTGGCCAGCTTGAAAACAGCCCTCAGCCCCTCACCCAGGCTGGCTATGCCCCCCAGCGGGGACCCTCACCCCATGGGAGCATGGCAGGTCTGAAAACCAC